CCTGGAGAAGTAGGCTCCAATACCAGTGAAGGAATGAACTTGCCAGCAAGAGTGAGGGCAAGTGTGCAAAGAGCAAGAGCTTCCTTCTTCCATGTCCTTTATATTGGCTGCGGCCAGGTGTAGCCCAGATTTAGGGCAGGTCTTTCCACTTTAAATGATCCAATCAAGAAAAATCCCTCAGAAGTGCACCCAGCAGCTTGCATTTTAGTTAATTCCAAGTTGACCACCAAGAATAGCCATTACAGTTTGGAATTAGAACACACACACACACACACACACACACACACACACACACACACACACACACACACACACACACACTGATGAAAAGAAAGATTCCATGGGTGCAGAACATGTCAAACATATCAAGTCTCCCAGGTACCTGATACTTCTGCAGACAAAGCAAGGGTCTTGTACATCCTAGGCAAATTCCCTACCAGCAAACTATATCTCAAGCTCCTCGACTAAGTTTTTGAAAAATTAAATGCCTTCTCCCCCACCTTGAGTTAGCTTTTATTATTCATCTACCTCACATGGAGAAAAGGAGTCACTGAGATGCTCAGAAATTTGCCAAGAGTGGGAGGACTGGAGATTAGATAAATAGATCTAATATTTCTGAGTACTGTTTTTCTTTAAATTATTATTACTAATGCTGGAACCTGAGCTCAGGGCTGCATGTTTGCTAAGTATGTTACTGTTGATTAATTTCCCAGGTATATTGTGAAGATCTCAAGTTTATTGATCTCTAAGTTTATTTCTACCCTAACATCTCACAAATCTGTGAGGTTTTGTAGATGGGACTATGTAACAGGTCTCCAGACTTTAATAGGCCCCAGACCTTAGCACAAGTGACTCCATGATGGAAGTATCATTCAAGCTGCAAAACTCAGCACTCAGACAGCACCACTTGCCAGAACAAAAGCAAAGACCTAATCCATCAAAGTCCACAGTTCTGGGAGAGTCTTTTAATGGACCAACCTTGCTTTTTGACTTCTGTGGTTCCGCTTCTGGTTAACTGTTCTTGTTAACTGAAGCATGGCAACCCAGGATATGGTTTTTCTGATTAACAGCTTAACCTAAGAAAGGCTCAGGGCTACAGTGGGATCCCAAATACCCAGTATAATTGAGGGCCAGTAGATAAAGACTTTCTGTAGGCTTAAACTCATGTTTGAGTAGTTTTTTCTGGTGGATACCCCACAACAGACTTCAGCATGATAACTAAAATATCTGAGATTTATGTATTGACTATAGAAAGTGAGGTTGAATACCCCTGGATAACTGCCATTATAAGGACCTCAGACACTTTCTTTTTTGACTTTCTGTTTTTCTTTATTTTCTTATTTGTATAGTTTCGGGGGGGATGGCATCAATTAAGAAAATAGTGGCAACATGAAATCTTTAGAAGGAGGTGTGAATTGACCCATTTTTTTTTTACTTCTATAGAACCAATATAAAATTCCAAAGTTAGAATAACATCCACCACCTATTGTGAAGCTTAAATAATATAAAGTGTGTGGCTGTCCTAAAATTTTCAAATAGTGTAAATATGATAAACTGTTGACATCACCCTGAAATATCTGCAGTGAGGAAACTTCAATTTTGGTACAAAACCCAATTTGGTGCTAGGAAGCTTGGATAGATGTTACTAGGCCTGACTAGTGTTTGTGTTAACTAAAGGGAAAGTGCCCACTTCCTTTTTCTAGCTCCTTCTAGAGTCCTTGGAAATCTGAAGGATGTTTCCCCTCTACCCAGTTCCCAGGCACAACATTCCACTTTGTTTTCCAAATTGGTTAAAAATAGAAAGATGTTGAGTCCAGTAAGATTTCTTCTGGTGCCTTTGAATTGACCACCGGAGCTCTTTGACCTAGAATTGTTCTGTCCTCGAGGACTTTGCTCCATGCAACCCCAAATAGACTAAAGTTGCAGTTTCCTTCACTCGCCATCACAGCTTGGCCCCACAGTCCCTATTCCAATCCAGTGTTCAAGAACTGGCAGCTGTTTATCAATGAACCAGGGAGCAGACTAGATGGACCCTCCTGCTCAAATCTTAGAGGTTGAGAGTCTGCTCAGGGGCAGCCTCTTTTGGACCAATGAGCAGTTATGGGCAAGGCACTTCGTGGGTGCTGCATGTGAACACGGTGTCGTGGGTTGTGTTTGTTTGACCCCTTCTTCTGAGGCTTTCAGTAGCTTAGGGACAGAGACAGGAGGACATTATTTGTGAACTCTCTGTTCTTGTCTGTTTGGGAAACTTCCTTGTTTTCCCAAATGGCTGTTTTGTACATTTTTGGAGCTGCCAATCAATCAATCAATCAATCAATCAATCAATCAATCAATCATTTACTGTATGCCAGCCCTGTCTTACATGAATCAGTTCATCTAATATCCACAGTGACCTTTTAATGGATTACTAACATCATCTGTGTTTTTCAGGTTAGAAAAACTAAAGGTCGAGAAACCACCTGTACCTGTAGGAGGAGAACCTACATCCAGTCATGATGGTAGCAGATGCAGTGAACTGAACTGAGCACTGAACTGAGTTCCTGGACTTCAATTGAAGAGGGGGAGGAAAAAATCACAGGAGAACATGAGGTTAAGATCACAATGGGGAAAACCCCAGAAACAGCTGACCCAAGCTGGTGGGAGTTTATGGACTCTGGGCTGTCAGCTGGGGAACATGCATGGTATTGAACTAGGCCTCTGAATGTGGGTGACAGTTATGTGGCTAGATCTGTTTGGGGAGCCCCTGGCAGTGGGACCAGGAATTATCCCAGGTGCATGAACTGGCATTTTAGAATACATTCCCTAGGGTGGGTCACATTGCTCAGCCTTGACACAGCAGGGAGGGGCTTGGTCTTGTCTCAACTTAGTATGCCAGACTTTGTTGACTCCTCAAGAGAAGCCTTACCCTCTCTGAGGAGTGGATGGGGGTAGCATGGACTGGGGTAGAGGGTAGGATAAGGGGAGGGATGGGGAACTGGGATTGGTATGTAAAGTGAATTTTTTTTTTTACATAAAAAAAGAAAACAAAACTGAAGGGTTGACTGGGCCTACAAAATCTCTTCACAGTTTTGTTGATGCTCACCTCACCGAGGCCTGGGTCTGCCAGGGGACCCTCCATCTGTTTACACACTCAGTGGGAAAGGAAGTAATGCACCTCTACCTTCAAGGTTGGAGCAACTTCCTCCTCTGACCCAACCCACTGGCCAGTGGGTAGCCCCTTCAGCACTGAGGCTGTGGAAACTGAGTCCAGAGCACAGTGCTGCGACCTCTGAAGGGACATCTTGAGCACCCACTCTGATGGTCAAGTTCAAGGCAGAGCTGGACAAAGCTGCCTGCTTTGTCTCTTTAGTACAGATCTTGTCGTGGGCTTCGGCATTTACATGTGAGTCAACGCTTGTCTTTTTCTGTGGCAGGAAGTGTTCTCACTGTGGCCAGTACAGGTGACCTGCTTCCTTCTCTTCTGCTGGACTGTGAGAGACTGCCCTACCGCCCTGTTTGAGTCTTATTGTTGTTAGTGTGATTCACCCGCAAGGTCCCTCTTGCCTCCCAAGCTCCTGACCATTGTGTCTGGGTTACACTACCAAGTCAAATGTTTCCAGAAAGTCATTTGTTCATGTGTGTGTGTGTGTGTGTGTGTGTGTGTGTGTGTGTGTGTGTGTGTGTGTATGTGTTCCCTTGATACAGTGCCACACTTCGCAGTAGAAACCAGCATGGAGGAGATCAAAGAGACAACTGGGAAGGTGGGGAGAAGGAGTGGGGTGGGTGGTAGACAAGAAGTAGAATGTGTCTTCAGACTGCAGGCGAGCTTGACACCTGACAGGGAACATTTACTGTGTAGCTCTTCCTCAGTTAACTAACATCTCTGATTCATGGTTTTCTCAATAGGAGAGGAGAATGAGATCACTTTAGGGCGAATGATAGGTAAAGTCTATATACCCATGGTGTGTGTCTATGCACCCAGGAGTTGTTATCTTTTATTACTACTACTGCTCAGAGGTTCCTCTCCATATGGTATTGGTGAGCTTGTGGTTTCTGAAAGGCAGAAACCACCTGTGAACTTGTTAGCATAGAAACCTGAAGAGCAACAAGAAACTCAAATGGATGGTCTCTAAGATGTCAGGACTTCTGCAAATGGCCTTCTAAGCCAGAGGCAATTTGAACTGAGTTATGCTGCTGCCTTTCACAAGTTGCCCTCAGTTTCCTGTCTCTTCTGAGGGTTAGATTACTGCTGTAAGAAAGGACTTGTTTTAACTTGACACTGGTCCTGCATCATGAGGATGTTCTAGCAGGAGCCAGATCCAGCAGGCAAAACATAATCCATGTTCTTGACTGTCCTGTAGAGAGCCTTGTATAATATGGGGTTACTTCAACTGTCTGCCTCCAGGCTCCTCCTGGGGATAGGTGGGTGAAATGTCTACTGCTAGGCTCCTGGTGAGAATCACATCCACTGACACTTCAGTGAATCACATAGCACAGTGTTAGACATTTCTACTACTGCAATGAGCAGCTCCCCACTTATTCTCTAAGGATCTGCCAGGGTGAGGATTCTAATGTGTACATGAGGTTTTCTCCTTAGAGTCAAACAGCCCATTTTCTGACACAAAGCTATCTTTTGGGGCTCAGAAAAGACAAAAGACTCTAGTCTAGAAGACAAAGAGTAGTCATAATGTCGTGGGAGGGGGCGGGGCACACCAGGTGGAATAGGAATTTCTCCCCAAGCCTCAGAGGATAAAGCAGCTAATGGCAATGGATGGTGCACCTGATTTCGCAAAGGACCTCATCAGACTCTTTCTCCTAACATAGTCTGGCTTCTATTGTCTCTCTGGCCCTTGTTAATTTTTCTTAACCTCCTTCCTGGTGCATTCTTTAATGGCCCATGAAGTCCTCCCCACACCCTTCTTCCCCCTCCTCCCTCCTTTTTCCACTCCAGCCAACTGTGAAAAGACACCCTGGAGCAAGGGCAGAGTAGAGGAATATATAAAATCCCAGCAGAGCTCTTCCTGGACTAACTCTTTCCCCTGCTCACTGGTTGCTTTAATCCTACTGAAGCATGATGCTCTACAAGATTCTGGTGATCTCTGTCCTGTGTGCTCTGGCTGTGGCTTTTCCCAGTTTGGACATAGGTATGTGTACCTTGGAATCCTTAGGAGAAGGGACTTGAAGTTTATGAGTGTGTGTTTGTGTGGAGATGGGTATGGGAGGGGTTGATTTGTGATGAAAATTTTAAGGAGAAATTGGATAATTCTGTCTAGGTGATTTGAGCCAAGGATGGCAGCTGACAGACTGGGAGACTATGATTTTGGTTTTGAGTTTGAATTAACCACATATAGTTAACAAGCTTGTTTAGATGGGACCAGGGCAGAATGGCTGAGATATTGTTGATGGTCTCATTCCCACTGGATGTCAAGGAGGTGATATGATTCTGTTGAATTAGGGTAAAGAGTTGGGAGGCCCCTACCATAGTGGGCTTCAGTTGTATATGAGAGCATTGGCAGCCATCTCTGTCACAGCCTGTGAATCTGTGTAGGGCTGGGATAGAAACTTGTACCACATTGAGCAAGGCAAGAAATAATGTCCTCATGAGCCAGAGGAAAAAAGGAACTTCCAACCCCCAAACTTTCTCTTCTAGTTCTTCCTGAACTCAGGCAGTTTCTCAGGAGAACTGCTCACCCAACTGAGTGGAAGTGACATGGCCCCCTCACCTGCTCTTGTCAGGTGACTGACTTTCTGGGCTGCAGGATGGGCTTCCTCACTGCACATGCGTGTGAGATGAAGCCACATGAGAAGCAGAGAGAGACAGTGATGCTGGTGACATGGATGCCACAGTGAGATGAGTGTGTCCTCGGGAGACCTGCCTTGTGCAGAGAAGACCACATGGTTGTGAGGGTTCTGTAGACAACAAGCCCTACGATATTAGGGCTGAGTGTTTTGAGATGTGCTGAAAATGGGTGCTGGACACAGGACATTAAATAAAAGGTAGTTGTAATGGAGCATGTTAGGGTTGATTCCATTCTTGCTTACACATAGGACCAGTGGTTTCTTTAAATTTTAACCATTACTACATTCGTTTGTGGCTTTTAGAAATCTGGAAGGATTATAGAGGTGAGTCCTGACCTTTTCTCCTGTTCCAGTATGACAAGCACACAGATAGAGATACAATACAGATGCTCTCTCCTCAACTGACTCCTCAGAGAAGGCAGGAGTAGGTTGTGATCACATTGCTCTGAGCAGCCGTTAGACCAGGGATCTTAGCTGTTGAACAGGACTATGGTAAGACCACACAACAGCAGCCACTTTATACTTTCCCTTGAACAGAGGGCGAGGAAGGGAGGAAGGGGTGGAGATGACAGAGACATGCTCACTGGAAAAGACTTGAGCTCTTCTTTTCTGTTGGGCTTCTTTAGAATTCACTACTTACCCATTAGAATCCACTAGTAAGGACCTACAAGAATCAATTAGATCTAACCAGTTATAATCAAGGAGACTCAATCAATTACCTTCCAGAAGAAACCACCTATGACCCACTAGACCCATTCAGTGAAGAACCATTAAATTCAACTGTTGACTATGAAGAACTACAGGATTCAATGAGTGGCCCACTAAAAACAGCCGGTAACCTACCACCACCAGTTGAGAAAGTGATAAGAGCTCTAAAAAATGACACAGACAATGATTTAACCACTGACTTTAACCCGACCTTGGACCTCACACCAACCACAGAAGCATATTATGAAAGCACACAGATTTTTGGTAAGTGAGGGTGTAGATTCTGGAGGTCTGGACAGGTATTCCTGGGCTCTCATCCTGTGCCTTTCTCTAGGAAAGTCTGCTTTCTTCCACAGCTGGTGACCATAACTGTCTTCTTATCTGTCTTCCCAGTGTCCTTTCCTGATGCTGAGACAGACTCCCCCAGCTTTCTGGAAGAATCCAGTGAGGCCTCAGGTAGGAGCTGTTTGTCTTCAAACATAGTTTCATTTTCTTGGTACCCTTTTCTTCTGTCTCACAGCTGAGGAAGATCCTGTGGTTACTCAAGTTGGGAAACTTGCTGCTTTGACCTCTGAGGTGGAGTAAATTTTTACCAAAAGTTCTTTGAAACTTGAGGACTATCTATCCCCTTTCCTGGAATATTTTCAATGGAAGACACGTGTCAGTGACAACACAGCTTCTTGTCAGCCACCTGACCTCAGGAACAAGCTCTGGGTAGCTCCAGCTTCTTGGGTGTCCATGTTCTTGGAAATGTGATTAGGAAGATGGGATTAATCACCTCCTTTTCTCTTCCAATAGTTACAATATGTTCCAGACAGACAGTATCCTGGGTAAAAATTTTGGTTAAGTGTAAATGTCCTTTGTATTTGGACTGAACAGAAGCAATGGATTTCTTTGCCACTCTCATTTATACCATCTATCTATCTATCATCTATCTATCTATGTTTTATCTATCTATCTATCTATCTATCTATCTATCTATCTATCTATCTATCTATCTATCTATCTATCTAATCTGTCTATCTATTATCTCTCTATATATCATCTATCTATTTATCTATCTATAATCTATCTATCTACTTACCTACCTACCTATCTATTAATCATCTATCTATCATCAATCAATCATCTATCTATCTATCTATCTATCTATCTATCTATCTATCTATCTATCTATCTATCTATCTATCATCATCTGTCTATCTATCTGTCTGTCTGTCTGTCTGTCTATCTATCATCTATCTATCATCAATCATCTATCTATCTATCTATCATCTATCTATCTATCTATCTATCTATCATCTATCTATCTATCTATCTATCTATCTATCTATCTATCTATCATCCTTCTATCCATCTGTCTATCAACTAACTATTGACAGGGTCTCTCTATGTAGTCCCAGCCCTGAAACTTGAAACTTGATGTGTAGATAAGGCTGACCCTGAACTCACAGAGATCTGCCTGCTTCTGGGTCCTGAGTGCTGGGTTAAAAGGTGTGAGTCATCATGCCCTCCACTTTTTTTCACCTTTCTGTCTGGCACTTAGTGAAGAAGTCATAAAATTTCGTCTATTATTTTTCTCTAAGACAAATTTTGGTAGCTTGAGTGAATGATATTTAAAGAGAATGGAAACCATTTCTTTATTTCATTGCAGACCCGATCCCTGCCTCCACTGGAAATCTTGTAAGTCTCTTCTCTTATCCCTGATACCTTTCTAGAGAGTCGTTATTCTATCTGATGCTAATTTTAATCCCCTCAGAATGGACTCCACATTTAACACCTCCCCAAAGCTGAGATAAATTGCAGGCATGACCAGGAATAGTGGCATCAATCTTTAATCTGAGCACTTGTGAGTCTGAGGAAGCTGAATCTCTTAGTTCCAGGCCAGTCTGATGTACATAGTAAATTTCCAGGCCAGCCTGATCTACAGAGCAAAACCCCATCCCAGAGTAAGTAAAATAAAATAAAATATAAAAAGGAACTTTTTTCTTCATGCAGGTCTTTTCTATTCAGGGGTCTGGAGCTTCAGGTACACTCATGATAGGACACAAATTTCCTCTCCCTTGAGTATTCATAAACTCCCAATTTATCTCTCTAGTGTCCAATCCATGGACTCTTAGCGAAGCCACCATCTAATACATAGAATGTATGATTCCCTGAAAAACTGAAGGGCTCTGAATCAGCAATTTCTGTTTTTATATCTCCTCTTTTTTGGCTTCTAAAAATGTTTAAAAATTATTTTTTATGTGTATGGGTGTTGTGATACACACATGTCTGTGCACTGTGTGTGTGCCTGGTGCCCACAGAAACCAGGTGTCAGAGTCCCTGGAACTGGAGTTACAGACTATGATAAGCTACCATGTGGGTACTTGGAATTGAACCTGGGTCCACTGGAAGAACAGCTTCTGCTGTTAAGTGTTGAGCCATCTCTCCAGACCCTCCTGGCTCTTTTTGTGTTTTTAATTCTCTAATATGGTTTCTTATTACAATAGAATGGCTATCAGCAGAGTGCTTAAATTTTTCATGAGAGAGGATAAGGGATTGTACTTAGAAAAATAAAATCCCACATCCAAGTTCAAAGTGTTAAATGACCAAAGATGGGCCCAATCTTTTGAAGTTCTCTTGATAATGCCTGTTTTATTTATTTTATTTGAAATTTAGACAACAAAATAAAGGTTCCACTTGCTGTAACAATCAATGCATTGTCTTCCACTTTCTGAGAATACTCCAACTTTGAAACAAGTTTACCAATACCCTTCTGGATATTGTGTCATTGCAGAAAACATAAGTCTGAGATACTCCCAGCAAAGAAGAAAGAGCAAGAAAGAAGGGGTCCTGGATGAAGACTGATGTGTCAGGCATTTATGAGCTCTGCCCTTACCTTGTGTGGGCTTAATAAATAAATGTTGATTAGAATTGTGTTTTGAGAGTGGTTTTTATTTTAGAGGGAAAGGATTGCTTAAATGTATTGTTTAACACTCAAAATAATTTTATCTCTCACTGGCACACACTGTCCTGCCACATCTCAGGATCTAGTAATTGTGGTGTTCCTACTTGGACAATCCAGGATATCCAAAATTAAATGGCTAGTGAGTTGGTGAGATGGCTTTAATGGGTAAGAACACCTACTACTGAGCCTGGCATCCCAAGTTTAATCCCTGGAACCCACATGGTAAAGGAGAGAATTGACTCTTACAAGTTCTCCTCTGACCTCCACATGCATCCTGTGGCATATTCCTCCCCGCAAATAAAAATGTAATTAATGTCAAACTGATTTGTAACTCCAACTCAACATTGTTATGTTATTTAACTTGGGTTCTGAGCTTAGGTGCTTACCTTTGGGGGAGATTTTGTATCAGACAAGACACACATCTTAATCTCCACCCTTGTTGGTTCAGTGACAGGCAGAAACACTGGATTTTTAAAAAATATAATTTCACTGGAATTTTGCATAAAGATACACAGAAGTTTGTGTAAAAATGACTTATAAGTAATTAAGAAGATTAAATGTTAAACATTGGGTTTGAAAATCCTGACTTTGAGTTCCAGTGCTTGAGCAGTATTATTTTGGAGGACAAATGCTATTTTGGAGTGGTTTAAAAACAGCAGCTAGTTAGGTATGACAGCTTACATGTATCATACCATTTCTTGGGAGCCTGAGGCATCAGAATTGCTATGAGTTCAAAGCAAGCCTGAATTCCATGGAGAGTTGTAGACCAGTCTGTGCAATGGAGTGAGAATCTGTCTCACAAAATCAAAGATAAAAACAATAGACATACAATTATGTAGTAGAATTTATAATAATTATATGGTAGAGTTTTCTTATATTTTATGCTTCATTTTGAAGTATAGTTCTACAGATAGTTATATGTTTAAATAGCTAGTAAGGTGCCAGGCGGTGAGCACACGCCTTTAATCCCAGCACTCGGGAGGCAGAGGCAGGCAGATCTTGTGAGTTTGAGGCCAACCTGGTCTACAGAGTGAGATCCAGGAAAGGAGCAAAGCTACACAGAGAAACCCTGTTTCAAAAAACCAAAAAATAAATAAATAAATAAATAAATAAATAAATAAATAAATAGCTAGTAAAGTATTTAAAGTCTACTTTTTAATATTTTTACTTTTTGCAAATTTAATACATTGTGTTTTTTGATGTTTCTTTTTTTAAAAAATAATTTTATTTTATAATTAATTTAATTTTACATATCAGCCACGGATTCCCCTGTCCTCCTCCCATCCCCTAACCTTCTCCTCCAATCCATTCCCCTATTCCCACCTCCTCCAAGGCAAGGTCTCCCCTGGGGAGTCAGCCCAGCCTGGTAGATTCAATTGAGGCAGGTTCAGTCCCCTCCTCCCTGCACCCAGGCTGAGCAAAGTGTCTCAGCATAGGCCCTAGGTTCCAAAAAGCCAGCTCATGCACCAAGGACAGGTCCTGGTCTCACTACCTGGGGGGCTCTTAAACAGTTCCATCTCATCAACTGTCTCACTTATCCAGAGGGCCTGGTCCAGTTCCATGGAGGCTCCTCAGCTATTGGTTCACAGTTCATGTGTTTCCACTAGTTTGGCTATTTGTCCCTGTGCTTTTTCCAATCATGGTCTTGCTCATATAATGTCCTGGCCAGTGGGATTGTCAACGGAGACCCTAGAAGAGGGAATGGAGAATGAAAGGGACAAGAGACACAAAGAATTGACAGCAAGACAGTATTCTGATCAAGCTGCAAAATTTTATTTTTCTCAGGCAGGTATTATAGTAAGCAGACCAGGAAGTTTTCTTTGGGAAAAGATAAGGGGACTGTTGGGTTGTAAGCAACCCAACCACAAAACATTGTTATTAATGGTCAATGTAGCAGAAATATAAGGAAATGTTAAGTTATTTTCTAATAACTCAGAACTTGTCCAAACATGTCACAAGTTTCTGGTGAGTGGCTCAATACAGAAACTTAACTCAGGCAGTCAATATGGCATGGCTCTTACAGTTGTCCCCAGCAGTATAATCCCTCCTCTCTCTCATTGATTGGACTCCTGGAGCTCCACCTTGGGCTTGGCCGTGGATCTCTGTATCTGCTTCCATCAGTCACTGGATGAGAGTTCTATCATGACAGTTAGGGTGTTCGGCCATCCTATCACCAGAGTAGGTTAGCTCAGGTACTCTCTTGACTATTGTCAGTAGTCTATAGTGGAAGTATCTTTGTGGATTTCTGGGGATCTTTCTAGCACTCTGTTTCTTCCTATTCCCATGGAGTCTTCATTTATCATGGTATCTCTTTCTTTGTTCTCCCTCTCTGTTCTTGATCCAGCTGGGATCTCCTGCTCCCCTAAACTCTCTTTCCCCCGACCATTGACCTCCATTACCCTCCCTCAACCCCAGTTTGCTCATGTAGATCTCATCCATTTCTCTGTCACTGGGTGATGCCTGTGTCTTTCTTAGGGTTTTCTTTACTAGGTAGCCTCCTGTTGGCTGGAGAATTTCTTCCCAGTTCCCGCCGCCAAGTCCCGCCAGTCCACAGCCCACTTATAAAATAAACACACAGACGCTTACATTATTTAAACTGCTTGGCCATTAGCTCAGGCCTATCATTGTCTAGCTCTTACTCTTATATTTAGTCCATTTCTATTAATCTTTATTTTGCCACATGGCTCATGGCTTACCAGTACTTTACATCTTCCTTGTCCTGGCAGCAGCTCCAGGTGGTCCCCTCTTTCCTTCCTCCTTCCTCAATTCTCCTCTCTCCTTGTCCCACCTATACTTCCTGCCTGGTCACTGGCCAATCAGTGCTTTATTTATATAGAGCAATAGCTACAGCAGCCTCCCTGGAGTTGTGAGTTGCAGTCTGGTTATCCTTTGCTTTACATCTAGTATCTACTTATGAGTGAGTACCTACCATGTTTGTCTTTCTGAGTCTGGGTTACCTCACTCAGGATAATATTTTCTAGTTCCATCCACTTGTCTGCAAACTTCATGATGTCACTGTTTTTCTCTGTTGAGTAGTACTCCATTGTGTATATGAACCACATTTTATTTATCCATTCTTCAGTTGAAGGGCATCTAGGCTGTTTCCAGGTTCTGGTGACTACAAATAATGCTGCTATGAACATAGATGAGCATTTGTCCTTGTGGTATGATTGAGCATTCCTTGGGTATATGCCCAAGAGTGGTATAGCTGTGTCTTGGGGGAGGTTGATTTCCAATTTTCTAAGAAAGTGACATATTGATTTCCAAAGTAGCTGTACAAGTTTGCATTCCCACCAACAATGTAGGGGATCTTAGCCATTCTGACAGGTGAAAGATGGTATCTTAGAGTCTTTTTGATTTGCATTTCCCTGATGGTTAAGGATGTTGAGCAATTCCTTAAATGTCTTCTAGCCATTTGAGCTTCCTCTGTTGAGAATTCTCTGTTTAGCTCTATAGCTCATTTTTTTAATTGGACTGTTGGATATTTTGATGTCTAATTTCTTGAGTTCTTTATTTGTTCTTGATATCAGCCCTCTGTCAGATGTAGGGTTGGTGAAGATCTTTTCCTATTCTGTAGGCTGTCATTTTGTCTTGTTGACTGTGTCCTTTCCTCTACAAAAGCTTCTCAGTTTCAAGAGATCCCATTTATTAATTGTTTCTCTTAGTGTCTATGGTACTGGTGTTATATTTAGGAAGCGATATATGGTGCAATGCGTTCAAGACTACTTCCTACTTTCTCTTCTATCAGGTTCAGAGTAACTGGATTTATGTTGAGGTCTTTGATCCACTTGGACTTGTTTTGTTCTTGGTGACAGATATGGATCTATTTGCAATCTTCTACATGTTGACATCTAGTTATGCCAGCACCATTTGTTGAAGATGCTTTCTTTTTTCCATTGTACAGTTTTGGCTTCTTTGTCAAAAATCATATGTTCATAGGTGCATGGATTAATGTCAGGGTCTTCAGTTTGGTTCCATTGGTCCACATATTGGTTTTTATGCCAGTACCAAGCTGTTCTTATTACTGTAGCTCTATAATAGAGCTTGAAGTCAGGGATCATGTTGCCTCCAGAGGTTGTTTTATTGTATAGGATTCTTTTAGCTATCCTATTTTTTTCCATATGAAGTTAAGTATTGTTCTTTCCAAGTCTGTGAAGAATTGTGTTGGGATTTTGATGGGGATTGCATTGAATCTGTAGATTGCTTTTGGTAAGATTGCCATTTTTACTATGTTAATCCTATCTATCCATGAGCATGGGAGATCTTTCTATTTTCTGACATCTTCTTCAATTTCTTTCTTCAGGGACTTAATGTTCTTGTCATACAGGTTCTTCACTTGCTTAGAGTTACCCCAAGGTATTTGATATCATTTGTGGCTATTGTAAAGAGTGATGTTTTTTTGATTTCTTCCTCAGTCCCTTTGTCAATTGTGTATAGGAGGATGACTGATTTGTTTTGAGTTAATCTTGTATCCTGCTACATTACTGAAGGTGTTTATCAGCTGTAGGAGTTCCCTGGTTGAATTTTTGGGGTCACTTATTTATACTAACATGTCATCTGCAAATAGTGAAAGTTTGACTTCTTCCTTCCCGATTTGTATCCCCTTGATCTCCTTTTGTTGTCTTATTGCTCTGGCTAGAACTTCAAGTACTATATTGAATAAAATTGGGGAGAGCGGACAGTCTTGTCTTGTTCCTGATTTTAGTGGAATTGTTTTGAGTTTCTTTCCATTTACTTTAATGTTGGCTGTTGGCTTGCTGTAAATTGCCTTTATTATGTTTAGGTATGTTTCCTGTATTCCTGATCTTTCCAAGACCTTTATCATGAAGGGATGTTAGATTTTGTCAAAGGCCTTTTCAGCATCTAGTGAGATGATCATGTGTTTTTTTTTCTTTTAGTTTGTTTATATGGTGTATTACATTGACAGACTTATGTATGTTGAACCACCCTTGCATCTCTGGGATGA